AGTTTCATATTGGAAGTCTTAAGTTGGAAGATTTGACAAAGGTTTGACTATTGTGTAAACGACTTTGAATTGATGATTTGATGTTTCTAATAAATTCGAATGGTGATTTTAGACTTAGGAGTATGTTCGGAATTGATTTTGGATGTTCTTAGAGGGTTTTGAGCCTATTTGCCGAAAGTTGGCAATTTGAAGAATTGGAGAGTTCTTAAGTTTGATCGATAGTTGGCTTTGATGATATCGGATTCGGATTATTATTTTGGAACTTGTAATAGGTTTGTTTTGTTGAATGAGACTTATGTACAATGTTTTGTGGCGATCCGAAGTGTTTAGGCATGAATTTGGAAGTTTAGAAGTTCTTGAGTGTAAGAGAAGTGCAGTGCGTGGTTTGACTATCGATTTGTTGTTAAGATGATATCGTATGTGTTTGGAGGCTTTGCATACGTTTGGGTAGTGTTTATCGACTTGTTGGTATGTTTGGACGGAGTCCCAAGTAGCTCGGGTGAGTTTCAGATCACCCGAAGCATGTTTTGAGTTGGTTGACGTGCTGGTGTCTAGCGTTCATCATGTTCGCGCGGGGAGCATCGCATTCACGATGAATGGTTTTGGACTGGAGGAGCTTTTTTCTTCACGTTCACGCTGAAGGGCCACATTCCCAAAAGAGGAGCTGGGAGCTGGAGGATTATCCTTCGCATTCGCGAAGGCCTAGTCGTGTTAGCGTATTTGAGGCAGGCTGGGCATCGCGTTCGCGAGGTTCGTTCCGCAAACTCGAAGTGTTATTTTTGGTAGAAGATTTTTGTGCTTTGCGAATGCGAGTCAGGTACCGTGTTTGTGAAGGTACCCCTGGGCAGATTATTTTAAGTTGGAATTTCGAGATTTTACTCATTCTTTCATATTCTAAACCCTAGACTTCGAGAGGAAAAAATCTTGAAGAGCAATTTCACTACTACTTTGGAGGTAAAGATTTTTCACTTGGACTTTATATCATGATTCTCCATGAATTTCTACACCTAAAATATGGATTTTTAAAGTAAAATTTAGAGTTTTTATCTAAACTTAAGAGAGTATATTTTGGGGATTTGAGGGTCGATTTGGATTTGGTTTTGGGAAAAACAAAGGTGACTAATGCTCTTACGTTAAAAAAAGCTTTGAAAGTTTAATCTTTCAAGCTTTAGAAGTTTTAAGTGATGAAGATTTAGATCTTTTGAGCTTTATCATGTGATGTCAAAAAATATAAAAATTGCTTCAACGGTACTTCAAGCCTCGTCTTTGAGTTTTGGAGAACTTGCAAACTGACAAGTCTTAGAGTAGAGGGCATTTGTAAGCATTTAAATTTTATTTAATTTAAATTCATAAAATAATTTGGACCATATTAAATTTAAGATATTAGTCCAAACAAATATTGTGGCTAGTAAATTGGGTTAATTATTTAAATGCAATATATATGTGTGTTGAACTAGTCCATTTAATTGATCTACAAATTAAATTATAAGCCCACTTCATTAGCCCAAGGTCTAAATGGCTATTATCCCATCTTAAAGCCTAGGATCATGCCACGTGTCAAGTGCTATGGTAATCCAAGTCGAAAGAATGAGCCAATAAAATCACGTCATGTGTTAAGAAAGGGGTGGCATGCCAAGTCAAGTCAACAACCAATAGAGTTGTGCCAATTGTTTAAACGGACCAATCAAATCTCACAACCATACCACTCCTTATAATTATAAATAGAGGTTTTCATAAAGTTAGAAGACACCAAAAGTGAGAACAAGAAGCAAGCAGAGAGCTTGTGGATCAAAGTCGGTAGATTTCTCTACAAGCTACAGGTTTAAAAACTCAAGCTACAAGTTCAAGTTCAAGAACAAGAACGAAGGCAAATCAAATACCAAGGCATTCAAGATGAAATTACTTGTTCGTAGCAGAAAATTCAATCAAGTTCAAGACGGAAATTCAAGACCAAGCTCTACAAGCCCTTGAATCATAATCAAACTCAAGCTCATTAAGATTTACATTCTTGAAGAATTAGAGGAATACCATAGAGATTGTAATACTCAACATTTATTGAAATATTATATTTGTTACGCAATTTCTAGTCTCGATTATTTATTGTTTTCGACGCGAAAATTTATTGTTACAACGATGAAATTACATATTTGGATGTTATAAATAAAGGTAATACCATTACAAATTATATGTAACTAATTTTAAATGTGATCCTTTAGAGGGATAATAAATGGCCATTACGTTTGGAATTCAAATATTAGTTCACTAATTATGGTAATTTATTATATACATTAATTAGTTTCATTTTTCCTACTCTAACAAGTCTTATATTAAATTCATTTTGATCAAAGTTTTACTATCTTTTCCAAAAAATTATGTGATACTTGAGTTAAGATATTAGTGCAACGCACGAGTATTGACAATCAATATATATTTTGCTCCCATTCCAAGTCCCCACTTATTCGAAACATGAATTCGCATCCATTAAGATCCAATAGCGCTTTTGCATCACTTTTACAAGCCTCAACTAAGCCTGAGGACACCTTCAAATCTGATTATCCACAAGCTCAATCTTGCAATCTTTCAAGAAACCTTACAATCCATAAAAATTGGTGAAGATAAAACGGCTCAATAAAACAAAATTTGCAGAAATCCATTACTAAGGTTCGGGAGAAATTCAAAAATAGCCAGATTTACAAGTGGTCGTTCAAAAATAGCCCAGTTTCAAAAGTAATCGAAATCTAGCCACTTTTCATGTAAAGATAAATCTGAGCGAAAATACTGTTCAAAACCCGAAAAATACGCCAATATATTATGCTGGAGTTTCAGCATAAGTATACTTGAACTCCAGCATATTATATTGGAGTTCCAGAATAAGTACTGGAGTTCCAGCATAAGTACACTAGAACTCCAGCGTAATATACTGGAGTTCCAGCAAAGTATACCAGTCCAGTATAATATGCTGGAAGTTCATACACAAGTGCTCGAATCTCCAGTATATTATGCTGGAACTTTCCGTGTGTTGGAGTTCCAGCATAATATGCTGGAAGTTCATACACAGATGCACCGAACTCCAGTATATTATGCTGGACCGGTCTTTGTTGCAGCAAAATAGTGGCTATTTTTCATTGACTTGGTAAACGCTAGCTATTTTTAAATGACATATCCGAAAACTAGCTACACCGTGCTATTTTTACCTAAGGTTCCGATGCTTTGCGAGTCCAGAGGAGAATAATTTTGATCTCGAAGAAAATTGAAACTTGCTACCAAGATAAGGTGGAGAGTCTTATCCCCTATTTATTTTCACTTAATAAAGGTTTGGACCTAAATGATTCAGACCTTTGCTCATTGAGTACGCTGTACACTTGTACGTCCTCCGTTCACTTTTACTTGGCATGTATATTAAAAATAGATTTTCATTTTTAGTTATCACTTTACGCATATCAAGAGAAGACAAAAAAAAATTTCCTATTATACCCACAGTATTTATTACTCATTTCAAATCATTTTCTCAAATCCAATAAAATATGCGTCAATTAATATAGGTACCATGGTAAATTATGCACTTTCATTTATTATTTTTTAAGGGGCGTGAAAAGTTAAAATGTACCAAGTAAAAATGAACCGAGGGAGTATTTTTTTTTTGGCAGTCACTTATTTGCTCTGGATAGATCTTACTTATCTAGATTATTAAGACGCTCAGTTTTTTAAGAAAACCAACTTTCTCCTCCACTTTTATTGTACAACCACTGTAGAAACTATCACTTGTGCCAACGACCACCTGCGTCTGCCACCTCCACCAGCACCCGCTTCTTCCACTTCACAATCATCACTAGCCATCATTGTACGACAACCACTGCTAGCCTCCTCCACCAATTATTATCACGACAAGTTAGCCATTTCACACCCATCATTACCAACTAACATTACAGCTAACTTTTAAAGTGTATTTAATTATTAAAATTTCAACTTTAAATAGTCATATAAAACTAAACCAATCTTCAGATTTAAAGACATTAGTCCATTTAAATAGTTAGATATGCATTAACATTCATACATCTTTAATTTTAAAAACAGTCGAGCCCTCCAGAAACTGAGACGATATCCAAATAAACCGAATCCATAAACAAAAAGAACTAAACTACTTAAATGTTATTTGATTGATTCCTGACTCTGCGAGATATAATAATTTGTGGGCAACTGAAATGCTATGTTACGGATACAATTCTCATGCCGGACAGATATGGTGTTTGTGCAAACTTTAATACAGAGTGTTGTTTTTCACATGCTCTCTCATTTATTTTTTCCTGTTTTCTCTCCTAATTCACGCATGCAAGTTCATGAAAGCTTCCTGATACTATAACACAATAGATATCCAAGATAATCTCTTTCTTTTTATCTTTTAAGGATGAAGTGGACCCAAGATGATCCTCCAGACTTGCAGCATATTCCCATTTCCCATGGTTCAAACTTACCAAGCATGTCACTGCCAGAGAGACGTAGCAATAACAGACCGTTATTTTGTTGGAAATGATCAGACTAACCAAGTCATGAAGTTGGAAATGATCAAAGTAACTGAGTTGGAAACGATCAAACATAAAGAAGTGCAACACTACAGTTGAGAATATTCTTTAAGAGATATTTAGAAGGCTCGAAAGGCAACTGGCAAAAAGAGAATAACCGAGAGGTTCATCATCTTCGTTATCTGCTTGTGGCAGACATCACATGAAGAAGCAACAACGAACCAATCTATTCACCAGAGATACTATAATCGGACAGCAACAACCCAACTGTTCTCATCAAAAGAATGAGACAACTGTAAACCATCAGCCTCATGTATCTATTCTCAAAGATTGTATGCAACAGAATTCTTTTACGGGACAGCATATATTCAGCATCATCGGCTGTTACTTGGGAATTAAAATTCTCAAACAGATTAAAGTCATTTCCGGGTATTCGCTAGTCATTCCCAATAACACCTAATAGTCGTTTTAGCATATTGATTAATCTTCACAACCACCTAATACTACACATTCAATTAATATCAGAAATACAGCCTGCTATTTGCAAAGCAACAAAGCAGGATAAAAGTCAGAATTAGGAATTAACACACACATAAAGCTACCATTAAAGGTTAGTGATTACTGATTACAAACCATATAAAAAGAAATTCAGATTGGGTCATGATATCAGTTGTCACCAGTTTAGAGCCAGTTATGTCTATCGGTAGTAAACTTGCTGGTAAGCTGGGGCCATCCCATTGCCATAGCCACCATATGGAGAGTAGTTCACTGGGGTGCCTGGAGAGTAGTTCACTGGGGTGCCTGGATATGGGGCAGCTTCTGGAGAGTAAGGATAAGGTGGGCTCCTGTTACCGTAGATGGCAGGTGGTGCAGCATATGCTGGAACTGCAGCAGGGTATTGGGTGTGTGAGGGAGACCTAACAAATGCAGGGGCTACTGGGAAAGATGAGACATAGGCATTTGTTGAACGGCCTGCCTTAGCAGGAGGCATAGGACCAACATTACTGGCTCTTGTTCTTTTATTTGCTGGTACAGCAGCTGGCCTCTTTTTCTCATTCTTGGGCTTCTCCGACTGCTCAAGCTGCTTTTTAAGGTTTTCTGGAGGGAATTCAGCCTCAAGCTTGTATTCTTCAATACACTTAAGGACAGAACGAATTGCTGATTGCTCTTTCTTTGCAGCTAGATGCTGTTAAACATGCAAAAGTAATTAATAAGTAAAACTGGAATAATCATATATAGTTTTTCATCGTCCATACAATAACATGCATGCGCCTTTGTCACAATGAACTTAATTTACTGGAATTGCATACACCATAACAGCAGTAAAGTTCCGAATTAGCACATCAGTACATAAATGGCATGAGAGAAACTAAAGTTTCTTCCAACATTAGGTGAAATGATTAGGGCAACACTTCTGACTATGTCTAGACCCTCTTCAAGAACAAAGGGAAAATATGCAAATCTTGGCAAATCAGAGCACATAAAAATGACTGAACCTGGCTGCATTCACAGGCAGGGAGAGGATAGCAGAAAGAGAGTCAGGACAGATATTGCCAACTACCACTAACGTAGAACAAGACAGTTGAGACATGTGGAGAAAAGATTTAAACAAGATACAAGAAAGCTGGATGAAAATATACATAACAGGAGAAAAAGAATTGGATGATACCGCAGCTCGACCAGAATTATTTGGGTCTTCCAGAATTGCAGTAGCAGCTTTTTTCGCATCTTTTAGATAAGCTTTCAGAAGGGGAACAGGAGGGAACCTATCAGCAAGTCCAACTTCATAAGTGAAATGTACGGCATCAACTTGCTGTCCTCGGCTGATTAATTCTTCAATCATTTCTGCAGACAAGAAGAGGATACAACAGTAAGCTTACATACCAAAAATAATTTGCTGGAGTAACATAGACAAATATGAACTAAACACATATAAGGTACTGTGAGAATCCTTAAACTTACTACCCAGCATACCTACAGACAAACAAAACAATTAACATGGCGTACAAATATGAAAGCAACTAGATAGGAAAAACAGGGGATGCACTGAAAGATCCTAAATGTAGGTTAGTGCACATAAGCAAAAAGTACTCTCCTAGGAGGATTAGATCTAGATCCTGTTGTCAACATGCTCCCCATAGTGTTCTTTTCCAATGATCCAACACAAAGTGGAGCACTAAGGATTAACATTTCATCCACCATACTTCACAAATAGTATGCCAACAAGAACTGTTGGGGGCATGAGGCTTAATATGGTGCCCCTTTGCTTCCGCGGTTCATTTCAACTACACCTCAATCACAAGATATAATTTGTTTCTAGTATTTCAAACCAAGACAAATTTCATATAACTAATATATCATCTACATGTAATATTTTCCACATCTAGTCGGATAATCCTACCTATTGCCAAAAAAATATATTGTACTTCCACAGTAGAAGCAAGGAAAACGCACATCAAATGAGAAGATGCTGGATGCGTGGACAAGGAAGTGTTGATGCTAAAAAGAGTTTCACACTAAGCATGGCAACAACGTAAATCCCTTCTACATCATGTGGCTTACAATAACCTCAAAACATTAGGTTACCTCTGCTAAGACAGCTGCACTTGTTTTAGATGTTTACTTCGGAAAATACAGAATTCAACTCGAGCACAAAAATATAAACTAAGTCACCAGAACAAGGAGATGACCAGCCATGAAAGAACAACATATATCAAACAGGACTCTTATCATTAGGATACAGCTATATCTCAGAGCTCCAATCCACTGCACTACCCCAACAAATGCTCTCATATTAGCAAAACATATTAGCATAAAATAAAAGACCATTTAGCCAGCGACTAGCAAGGAGACACCTGTTGAAGCTGCTCTGCAATTCAAACAAGGAGTACGATACAGCCCTTGCAAAGATACACTTCTCTGATCAGACATTGGACCTTATAAAAAAAGATTTTCTAACACCTATAGTGGATATCAGTAGATAGTAGTCCAATTTAGCTCCAAGAAAACATCCCATAACAAACTCAACCACGGATATGAATAAAAAGGGTAAACAACAAAATGATCTCTCAAGTCAAAGCCACTAAGCACCTAAATTTCCAAATTAACCAGACCCTTCAACTGCAGACCTACTCAAAAGTCACAAGCACAGGTAAAATTCCCCAAAAATTTACTTATGACATGTTAACCTTTTCCACCTGAACAGAAGACCAACCAGACCAAAAACAGCTAGTTCACTATGCATTTCGCTTAACTTAGGCTTATTTCGTCAAATTATAAGACTATGAAAGACAAAGTACTCCTTTTTTTATATGACAGCGGTGGCGGGGCATTTTGCGTGCACCTCGACTATTCCACTGGGTACTGCTATCTCCAGCACCGGGTCACTCTTACCAATGCTTGGACAGATGTGGAAAATCACCAAGCTTTTTTGAGAAATTACTCCTATTTCTCAAGCCAAAGCAATAATATGAACAATATAATATAACATAACACAAAAAAATTACCAGGCATTTTATCACCAAGTCCAAGAGAGACGGCCAATTTAGGCATCTGTTTCCTCCATGCAGACCCAACAACAAGTTTTCTGTACAAATCAAAATCCTCATCCTTCACTATCCCAAAAGTTACCAAATGCTGCAAGAAAGTATGCACATCTGGCGTCTTCACATTCTCAATCCCTCCTCTTTCATCCAAGCTCCTCTTCCATATCTCCGCTATCTCAGTGGCCTTATCCTTAACACTCGGCGTCACCAATTTCCTCTCATTTCCCAGAACCGGGTCCATCATAACTGGAATCAAAGACTCCAACATCAAAACACAGGCCCAGCCCAAATCAAGAGTTGGGTTAGGCCTTTTATCCTCTGGAAACACCTCCGATATCGATTCCAACACGAACCTCGGCGGATCCACGCAGTCTCCTAATGCTTTCGGTATTTCAACCCTAAGTGAATCCAAATCCTTCTTTTTTACAATTAAAAACCTCCAGAAGCTTCTAGAATCCATCTTAACACAAAAGCTCTTCAATTTTAGATACAAACCAGTAGAGTCATCAACTTCGGGTTGTTCTGCACCCTCATCTAGGGCTAAAATAGCAGCTTGCTTGTTTTCGAGAACCTTCTGAAGAGAAATTGAGAGTGAAACGTTCATTGAATTCTCACGTTTTTCGAGGACGTCGAGGGAAGCTTTGGTTTCGGAATCTAGGGTTTGGATTTTAGCTTTTAAGGCTTCGGATTTCTTGAGGATGTCTTGTTCGAGGGAAGTGAAGTGATCGGAGAGCTCTTTCCAGAGGAGTGTGCAGCTTGTCATTAAAGAAGTTTGGCGCTGGAAGTCGTCGAAACTCGGCGGCGGCGCCACCGAGTCGAGTTCGCCGGGATCGGCGAGTGAACCCATGGTTGTTGAATTATTGGAAATGAAGTGGAAACCCTAGAGAGTTATGAGGGGAGGGGGAATTGGGGGAAGGGGACACAGTTTTTGGGGTTTGGTGGTGATGATAAAGTTAAGGTTAGGGGAAACAGTACCATATGATGACGTGGACGAGGATTTCGTTGCCACGTATGTTTATGTCTGCGCAGAGGTTTAGGAAGAGTAATTGCCAAACAATATACTTTCCTGTAATTGATCTCAGGGGAACAAGTGAATATTTTCTGTTTACTATTCGAAATTAGCAATTTTCATTAAACTTCTGCCTGAAAATGTCTAATATTTTCTTACAGTGGCCATATCTTTTCTGACAAATGTAGAGTTCGCCGATTTCATGTTAAACTTTCATTAATAACAAAGACAAATAACATACTAATTGCAAGAGTATAAACTGATCAAATAATGAAGGATAACATTTAACAGTATCAGAGATTACAGTTGACAGAATTGAATTATTGAATTAAGCACTAAAATAGCTTATGTACGTAAATATTAATTTTCAAATTGCTAATGTACACTTGGGAGTGTAGGGTGGAGTGTTGCTTAAGTTAAGGATTTATTGGGTTACGCATATCACAATCGTGGTCTCTTGCTGTTTTGTTTCGTTTCGTTATTTGTCTGTTTCAGTCAGATTTAAGAATTGATTAGTATATACTATTAGGTTTCTGTCTCTCAATCAAGGGTGTGACAAATGTCAGCATATTTATCGACTATCGTCAACTAATAGTCCAAGACCCAAGAGTATGAATTCGAATTTTCAATTATCTAACTCAATTCCCATTATACCTGTTAGCTACTTCCTCTATTCCAATTTATGTAAACCTATTTTTTTTGATCCGTTTCAAAAAGAATGAATCTTTTCTAAATTTGGTAACAATTTAGCTTAAACTTACAATTCTACCCTTAATGAGAAGCTTTTATAACCACAAAAATACTCTGGTCCATTTTTGACTTGTTTAGGACCACAAATTCTAAAAGTCTTCATTTTTTCTTAAATTCCGTGCCCAGTCAAACAGGTTCACATAAATTGGAACGGAGGGAGTATGACTTAAGAAACAAAAAATAATGTAAATTTCTTGGAGTTTTGATAACATTGTCCCAATTATTTAAAACTTGTGCATTTTGTAAAGTTAACTTCATTTGAACTCTATTGGAATACTAACAAATACTTCAAACATTAACAACGACGACGACCCAATAAAATTCTATAAGTGGGGTTCTGGGGAAAATAGTGTGTACGCAGACCTTACCCCTACCCCGAAGTAGTAGAGATGTTGTTTCCGAAAGACCATCGGCTCAAGAAAACGCAAAAGACGAGCAGAGAAAGGAAGGGACAATATATTACTACCATCAAACAGAAACCAAAGAAATAATAACAGCATCATAAGAACTTAAAAATAGTTGAAATGAAATAACAAAACTAGAAAATAAGCTTCGATGCTATAAAAAATGGAATGATAGTGTGAACACAACATTAACTATTAGTAGTTTAAGGCCAATCCTATCGAACTAGCCTTACCTGGACTCGACTACATTCTAACCTACAACCCTAATGCTCGACCTCCACACCTTCCTATCAAGGGTCATGTCCTCGGAAATCTGCAGCAACGCCATGCCACGTCTGATCACCTCTCCCCAATACTTCTTAGGCCGCCATCTATCTATTCTCGTACCTGCCAAGGCCAAACTCTCACATGTCCTCACCGGAGCATCAGGGCTCCTCCTTCGCATGTGCCCGAACCATTTGAGCCTCGCTTCCCGCATCTTGTCATCCATAGGAGCCACGCCCACCTTCTCCGGAGTAACTTCATTTCTAATCTTATCTATCCTAGTATGCTTGCACATCCACCTCAACATCCTCATTTCTGTCACTTTCATCTTCTAGATATGAGAGTTCTTAACCGGCCAACACTTTGCCACATACAACATGGCTGTCTAACCACAGTTCTATAGAACTTACCTTTGAGTAATGGTGGCACTTTCTTGACACACAGGACTCCTGATGCTAACCTCCATTTTATCCACCCCACCCCTATATGGTGTGTAATGTCCTCGTTGATCTCTCCATCCCCCTAGATGTTCGACCCTAGGTACTTAGAATTACTTCTCTTGGGGATGACCTGTGATCCAAGCCTCACGTCCATGCCCACTTTCCCCGACTCGGCACTGAACTTGCACTCCAGATACTCTATCTTAGTCTTGCTCAACTTGAAACCCTTAGACTCAAGGGTATATCTCTAAACCTTCGGCCTGTCGTTAATACCGCCTAGCGTCACATCAATCGGAACTATGTCGTTCACAAATACTTGAAAGAATTATCGAATGTGAAACGCTGCAAGAAATTTAATAAGTTTTCATGCATCGGCTTTGCAAAAAAAAACCTTAGCATTTTTATCAATTACATGTGCTTATAAATTGTATATATACGAACGGAGCTACATACAATTAAAAAAGATTTAAGTGGGTTGTCTTTATTATTTTCATATCGTGCAAATAAAGTGAATATAAATTTATATATTACATTAAAGAATTCCCTTAACATAATGAAACCTTCATACAATGGACATAGATGGTTAAAAATCATCTTAACTCACAAGTTTGAATTGCAATTGTGATATTATCCTACTTTTCAACCTCGTTATTTCCCATGGTAATTGATGTACTAAGATATTGAGATGGATGTATGGGCATATCAAGAGAGATAATAGTAGAAATGAAGATATTCGAAATAAAGTGTGAATGGCCTCCGTGGTGAATAAGATGTGGAAAGCGAGACTTAGATGAATTAGGCATGTGAAGAGGAAATGTACAGATACCCCAGTAAGGAGGTGCAAGAGGTTGGCCATGGCGGGTCTGAGGAGAGATAGAGGTAGGCCTAATATATACTTACAGAGAGGTGATTAGGCAGGACATGGCGTAGCTTTATCTTACCGAAGACAAGATCGTTGATAGGACAGTGTGGGTTGAGAATTAGAATACAAGGTTAGTAGGTAATCAAGTGTGTCTCTTTTCATGCCAATTATATTAGTATTAGTCTCATAATTTCTTATCTGCAGAATTGTAGTATTGTATATTGTTTCTTTTGCTTCGCTTTACTTATCATCTTATCCTATTATTGTTACTGTTTTCTTTTCATCATTTCTTAAGCCAAATGTCTATCGAAAATAACCTCTCTACCTTTATAAGGTAAGGGTAAGGTAAGGTCTGTGTACACATTACTCTCTTTGAACCTTACTTTTGGGATTACATTAGGTTTGTTATTGTTGTTACTATAATTCCACTTTCTACTGTCACGACTTGAAATCCAAACCAAGGGACAGTGATGGCTGATGTCACCCAAATTTACACCATTGATTGGGATTGTGAAGCGGTCGATGCAACTATAATTACCCAACGTGAGTCGGGGTCGATTCCATAGAGAGCTTAGATTGGATTAGGTATATATCTAGACCAAGTGTATGATGTGCCCAAAATTCACTTCCACATGTTTGGTTATTTCTTTCTACTTCTAATTTTTAAGCTAATGTTTGTAAATGAAAAGCTAGAGAACGATATTTTTGTTGTTGTTGTTTTTCAGGTTTATAAAAGATCTAGGGTCGTGACTTCCACCTATGTGGTTACCTAAAGGATCGTAGGCTGTAGGGCAAGTTTGATTGATCGGTGTGTAATATAGTAATCACATACAATTACCCACTCAATACCTCTCAGTAGTTAGAGTGATTTTGCCCAATTTTGGCTTTCCCAAGTCCAAATGGGTAATTCACAAAACAAGTGATAAATGCTCAAGTCGGGTCTTACTATCTCAAGATTCAACCCTCTAATTGGGGCTATCAATGAGTTCACCCCAGTTCCTTGTTAGCCAAGTTTTCCTAGACTTAGTCTCTCTTTCTCAAGTAGAGACTAAGTCATTTAGGCATGAATCAATGTTCGCAACCATTAATTCTTAAATTCAAGCAAGAACTAGGCTAAATATCACTTACCCAATCACAAACAAGTCCTAATCAAGCACCCATTAGGTACCCAATCTAGGGTTGGGTCACAACCCTAGCTAAGAATTTAGCTACTCATAGAGAAAATTGAAGAAACTAAAGAAGAAAATAAGAATAAACTCATAATAGATGATAAAGGGAAGAAAATCCAATGTTAAAATGATAAACTATTACAAAGTTACCCAAAGCAGTAGAGGAAAAACGACTATCTATTTTCTGGTGTTCAAACTTAACCCAATTTTGACAAAAAAAAGACTATTTATCCACATCTAAAATTATCGGACAAAATTGCCCCTGCGGAGGTTCTGCGGCCGCACAATTCTGTGTGCGGTCCGCACTTTGATGTTGGCTTGACAGGATGGATCTCTGCGGCCGCAAAATTCTGGGTTGCAGTCACACTTCTTCAAATTCTGCGGACCGCACATTTATGAGTGCAGCCACACTCTTGAGCTTGAGCTTTGACATGAGAGACTTCTGCGGACCGCACATTTCTGAGTGCCGCCGCACTTTAGAATTCTGATGCCGCACAATAATGGTGCGGTCCGCACTTCTTCAAGGACCAAAATCTCATCTCTTTGAACCTCATCTTCTGCGGTCGCACAATAATTGTGCGGTCGGCACTTTGCAAAGGGAATCTGTCAGAGGTTCCTTCATGGTCTGCGGCCTCACACAATATTGTGCGGTCCACACTTTGCTCTTTTTTGCTTTGCTTTAGTCCTTGTCTAAAATTAATCCTTGAGTTGATTTTCACCTCTTTGGCTCATTTTCCAATAATCCTGGAAGTAAGCACATTTTATCAGTTCTCGGGAAAACCTTTAAGCATTTTTGGGCTAAAACAAAAGTAAAATGGACAGGTTCACTTCTTCTTGAGTCTCCTCGACAATGTAGAGGATGTGGTCCCTAGACGGGTTCACTTTTTCTTGAGTCTCCTCTACATACTAACTCCTAGTTTACCATCATACTAACTCCTTCCATTGCATTTACTTGCTTGTGACATTGCACTTGTTGAAGTTGAGCTTTGGCGAGTTGATTCATTGTGGTGGTCAACTTGGCAATTGCCTGCCCATGATCATGTAATTCTTTGTGCAAGTGAATCATATTTGGATCGCCTTGAGAAATGTTTACTCTACTTTTCCATGCTGATGAAGTATCTGCCATTTCATCAAGAATCTCACAAGCTTCCACATATGGCATTGTCATGAAATTTCCGCCGGCAAGTTGATTGACCACGCATTGATTGGTAGTGTTGATACCCCTAT